CTTCTACGGTTCTGGAGTTTCCGCGAAATTTAGGATCACAATCTCAAAATTTTAGGGAACTTTTCAGGAGACTTTGCAAAATTTTGAATTTTCTTTCCAAAAGGAAACCATTGCATTTTGCACAGTCCCGCAGCGAAATTATTCGGATAGATAAACACATGTACTAAGAATGCTAAGACCGTTTAGGCGAGAGGTGTGGGGAAATCGGTGTCAAAATCGCAATAATTCCCAATGTCGAGAAAATAAAGCAAAAAAAGTGCTCGTAACGAACCTTCCGGTGTCCACAGTAGGAATATTCAAGAGCAGGATGCGCACTGCGGATCAAACCTTCACCATTACCACACCAAACCATTTTGCAGACGTCCTGAAATGCATCCAAAAATAAACCGAGGACCTGAAAATCCAGAAACGATCTAAATACATTGCTTCCTCTCAAACGAAACACTTGTTACTAGATGATCACAGGGAAAAATCTTACAGCATGATTCTGTCCACGTTTCAGTTCATGCTTCCAGCACTCGCCGTGAAATGAAATGCACTGCTCATCCAGGGTGTACACTTGTCCAGCACGAAGTGCGCTCATCTGCTCGTTTGTTACACCAGTATTCCGCAAACAGTTGTTCGATGCGCCGTTCTTATCCAGTCGCTACAAATTATTCAAAAACAATGAGAAAAGAAACGACCACTCGTACTTTACGTGAAGAGGTTGTGCACATATGTCGAACAAGTGGAGGGTACTAGTTGAATATATACAACCTACTAACTGAAGATATGGAGCCAGCAACGACACAGAAGCTACGCCTGGCGCGTGGAAGCATTCCAGTAACATCACTTACAATGGATGCACACACTGGCCGGTCTTGCCTCTACAGCGACCAAATGTGGAAAATTTTAGAAAGAGTTTGAGATAGATACACTCTTTAGTGTCCTTCAAAAGAAACCGAAGCGAACATCAGGATCCCCAGCACGCTAAACCTCAGGATAATGCAGCATTGGTCAGAGCAAGTGAAAAGCTGCCAGCTGTAAATCTGAAGGAGCAACGCTATATCTGACTAAAGTGCCAACTTAGCATTTTGGCCAGAATGTTTGGTTCCATCAAAATTACAG